GATGAAAATAGCTAATGTTAGGCTTTTTATTTTTGAGAATTTCATATGGAGTTTTCTTTAAAATTGGCCTAATCATTACTCGATTTACAACATAACAAGCGGTATTTGTGGCTTCCGCCCAAAAATATTTTGGCAAATTATTTTCACAAAGCATGGTTCTAGCCATTTCTTCTAAAGTTCGATTTTTCCTTTCAACAACTCCATTTTGTTGAGGGGTTCTAGGTGCTGAAAAATTGTGACTAATACCATTAGAATTGCAAAACTCAATAAATCCAAGATTTTCAAATTCAGTTCCATGATCACTTCTAACACTAGTGATAGAGTATCCTTTTTCATTTTGGATTATTTTTGAAAATGTGATGAAATTTTCTAATGCTTCATCTTTAGTACTTAAGAATAGAACCCAAGTGTATCTAGAATAGTCATCTACCAAGACAAATGCATATTGTTTTCCTCCCAAGCTAGTAGTTCTAGTTGGCCCAAAAAGATCTAAATTGATCAATTGTAATACTCTACTAGTTGATACATCATTAATAGATTTAAAAGAAACTCGTTTTTGTTTTCCTTTAGCACAAGCATCACAGATTTTATCATTATCAAATTTAAGCTTAGGCAACCCTCGAACTAAATCACCTTGAATTAGCCGTTGCAAAACACTCATACTAGCATGACCTAGTCTCCTATGCCATAACCAACTATCATGCTCATCCTTAGCAACTAGGCATAAATTAGTCATATCAATAGAATCTAAATGCACCATGTAAATGTTTCCTATTCTATGACCAACAAGCATAATCCGATTAGATGCAATGTCAATGACTTTACAACCATTAATTTCAAATAAGACATTGAATCCTTTATCACATAATTGACTAATACTCAATAGATTATGCTTTAATCCATTCACATATAAAACATTCTTAATTTGTATGGAAGAGGTATTACCTATTGTACCAATACCTTCAATGTGACCTTTTGAATTGTCTCCAAAAGTCACTTCTCCTCCATTTTTGGCGTTAAGCTCAATGAACCGGCTTTTGTCTCCGGTCATATGTCTTGAGCATCCACTATCAAGGTACCATGAGTTTGAATTTGTTTCCCGTGCCTTGTAGCAATGCTCTTTTCCCTACAAACACAGATTAATTTTTGATTTTTGGTACCCAAATTCTTTTGGGTCCATATTCATTAGTTTCCAAAATCCTAGTCCCCTTAGGTATCCATTTGTGTAGGATATCTTTATCTTTAGTAGTAATGAGTCCTTTAGGAACCCATATACTTCTAAAGATTTTACCATTTAAGGTTCGTAGAGGATTTCTATGATTGTAGTTTCTAAAATCTTTTCTAACAAAGTTGGATTTTGAATTTTCTCCTTTTTTAAAACGTTTTGTTCCAACTTTATCAAAAGAAGTTTTAAGATCATCAATTTTCTTTTGATGATCATCATTGACCTTTGAAAGTAAATTTTGCAAATCTAAATTTTTCTTTTCAAACTCTTCTAGTTTGATTTGCAAATCTTTGATTTTACTTTCAAGATCATTGTTGGTTTTGGATATGAGTTTATTTTCATTTTTCAACTTTGAAACATCATTTTTATATTTTAAAAATAATTTCTCATAGTCCGAAGCCAACCCATTATATTCCTCTAATAGCTCATCATAAGATAAATCATCAAAATCGGATGAGTTAGAGGTTACCTTAGAATCTTCCCCGAATGCCATCAAGCACAAGTTTGCTACTTCTTGTTCCTCTTCATCGGAACCTTCTTCACCGCTCCATGTAGCCACATGAGCCTTGTGCTTATTCTTTGATTGACCCTTTTTCTTCAATTGTGGGCAATCATATTTGACATGCCCCGGCTTTTTGCATTCATAGCAAATGATTGGGTCCTTCTCTTTTGGTTCATTTTTGAGGCCTTCGTTTCGTTTGAATTTTCTTCCTTGGTAAGGTCTCATCATTTTTCTGAACCGTTTGGCAAACAATGCCATTTCCTCGTCATCATCATTAGAATCACTCTCATCTTTTGTGGATTTGAGAGCAACTCCAATATTTTTCTTCTTCTCCTTCTCCTTTGGTGTCTCTTCAACTTTATCAAGGTCCACCTCATCTTCAAGCATCATCTCATGAGTGAGGAGTGAACCGATAAGTTCTTCAAGAGTTAAGGACGATAGGTCCTTAGACTCGATGATTGCCGTCTTCTTTGATTGCCATGATTTTGGGAGGGAGTAGACTAACTTCCTCACAAGCTTTTCATTTGAGATGATCTCTCCATATGATTTGAGACCATTGACAATCGTTGAAAATCTATCCGTCATAGCTTTGATGTCTTCATTTGGTTTCATCCTGAAATTTTCATAGCTATGCGTTAGAATACTAATTTTTGATTTCTTTACCTCATCGGTACCTTCATGTGTGACTTGAAGCTTGTCCCATATTTCTTTGGCGGTTGTACACGATGAAACTCTTCCGTATTCATCTGGTCCAAGAGCACAAAAGATAATATGGATGGCTTTGGAGTTGAGCTGGAACAGTTTAGTATCTCCTTCACTCCACAACCTTGGATGAGTGATAGGCTTAATGTATCCTTCTTCTACGGCATTCCATGCTCCCATGTCACTTGCTTGAATGAAGTACATCATTCTATTCTTCCAATAGGCGTAGTTAGCTCCATTGAAGAAAGGAGGCTTGTTGACGGGCATCGAATCGAGACCGGAGTCGAAGTTTGAAGTGGAGGCCATTGATGACTTTGTAATCGATGTAACTCTTCCCGGATCGACTCAAGAGGAGATTAAACCTTCAAATGAGTTAGGCTCTGATACCAATTGTTGAGTTAATCGAATGACGAAATTGGCCAAGAGGGGGGTGAATTGGCAATAAAAATTTTGTGGAAGCTTTTGCAGAAAATTGAAAATAATTGCACAGCGATTTACAGTGGTTCGACTTTCTCAAACAAAGTCTACGTCCACTACCTTAGCTATCCACACTAAGGATTTTCCAACAAATTCACTAATTTTTTCTTTCTTTTGAGGCCAAAGAGATAACCTTACAATTCCCTCAAGAGTATACCCCAACTCTTGAGAACACTCTTTTCTCAAAGAGAAGATTACAAATTTACAAACTTACAAGAAAACCTCACAAGGTAAGATGTTTGCACAATTCTAGAACAAAGAAAAGAACACTCAAAGATGAATACAATTGAGAACAAAAAGTGTTCTTGAAAGCAAAATGAATATTGAATGAAAATGGGCTTTGAAATGCTCAAACTTGAGGTTTGATGCTTTCTCTTTGATTCTCTCTTGATTCTAGTTGCTTGATGTTTCTTGTTCTTGATCAATGGCTTCTAAGCTTGCTTAAATACACCTTGGATCACTTCTGAACGTTGGGGATAATTAGAGAAGATATTATAGCCGTTTTAGTGTGAAAACATTTAATAAAACAGCTTGGAGCGTGGGGGGAATCGATTCCCTCTCATAGGGAATCGGTTCCCTAAGTGTAAAATTCAAATATTTCGACCGTTGAATCAGGGGGGAATCGGTACCCCCTTGGGGGGAATCGGTTCCCTCCGAGCATTCTGGAAATCTCGGAGCCAAACCATTCAGGGGGGAATCGGTTCCTCCTATGGGGGGGAATCGGTTCCCTCTGAGCAATCTGGAATTTTTGGCTTTGAATAGGTTCGAAATACTTTGTAAAATTATTTTGAAATTGTTTTATGATTAAAACTTAATTTTACACTTAAGTAAGGATCAAAAATGATTTTTGAAATATTTGGAGTAATGTTTTGATATTCGAATAGTTATATCGAATATACTTAGAAAATCATTTGGAAAATCTTAAAATCCATTTAACTTAATTTGTTATATCGAAATATTAAAATGTTTCAACAAACTCCAATGAATGCTTGATAATCCCCGTCAATGATCTTTTAACCCAGCTCAAGCTCTCAGATGGAATGTGCATTTCCAATAAGTTTTTCTTATCTTTTCCCCTGTGAAGACCTTCAGCTGATGATTCCGTAATCCCCTTAACACTTCTCGCTATCCTGTTCGACAGTAGGGCATCTTTATACGATCTGTCATCCCTCAAACTTCTATTAATATCATTTGACTCTTTTAAGTTTGCTATATCAACAGTAATCGGACATGCAGCCTTCTTGAAAGAGATATTATTACGCTCCATCCATGAACGTGAATCCTTGTATCTTGCAGCTCCCACCGAGATCCTTCTCCCATCTATGACAATACCATTAACATTATTTACTGCCCTTCAAACCAATCTCAGACCCAAACTACACAAAAGCAAAAGTAGAAAATCTGTATTTTGGATTTCTTGTTTCCTTTGGGATATAAACTCTCTGAATCGGACCATGAACTAAAAAAATTTCTCTTAACGCACGTCTTGACACTCTTCGACTAAGATTATCCACAAACACCGTCCAAATCTCCTCAGAAAAATACTTACTTTTCCCCGTTCCTCTCTCCACTTCTCTTTCTCTCTCTCTCTCCATGTGATAGTTATTTACTATGATATAGTAGCAATTGCATCTACTAAATAGTTAGGAGTCACACTTTAAAATGTGATTCAAGTCCAAACCCAGCATGGCCAAAGAAACAAAACACGACTACCACCTTTCATGTATTAGTAGTGTGGACCGGACATAACTTTTCCTGCACCTTCCCAAGATTGTTTTTTGTTACTAATTATGCTTTAATGACCCTATTCTTGTCCAAATGATGGTATTTACTATATATAGTTGTAACAACTATAATAAGACATGTTAGAAAACTACCAAAACATGCACTGATGCCAAGTTGAATGGTATGATGATATAAATCAACAACCGAAGCATTAATATGATGTTCAATTAAGATCACTAAGTAATTACTCACTTGTTGACCCAGCTCCAATTCTTGCAACGTTCTTTGGTTTGCTAATACCATGCATAGAGTCATGATCACACATCCTTTCCTGGCAGAAGGATCTGTAAATCATAAATAATATTTTTGCAAATAGCACAAAAAGAAACAAGGATTATAAAGTCAAATGAAAAAAATTCATAACCATGCTTAGAAGAGAAGTTAGAAAGATGGGGCAGAGATAATTATTTCATCAGAGTGTGACACTAACTGCATGAAATCTATTGTGTCTGGCCTCGCATCAGAAGCATAAGATATTTTAATACTTGCAACCTACCAAAACAACCACTTAATAGGGGACATGATGCCTAGCTACATAATGATAAACTGCCAGCAGACAGAGAGAACTGGATTAAATATAGAAGGTCGTGACTAGTGAAAGGAACCTTAGTAGACAAAAGCTTGACTTCCAAATTATCATTCTCAGAAGAGCTTTTTGTTTCCTTCAAGTACAAGGCATTTCCTGAGTGTACCAACTGCAAGTAGAATACAGGAAATGAATTTTAGCTTACGGCATAAAAGAATAATTATGGCATTTCTCAGACATAATGTCTGAACAGAGAGGAGTGATACAAAATGCTACAATTAGTTATTCATTTTCCTTTTGAATACTGTCAGGGATCCTACCTTCATTATTTCTGGGTCATTCTAGGGTCCCTTATCAGATCCAAATCAACCACCATCATTAGGGCATGAGCAAATTCCACCAAGAAACTCTGGCAATTGGGTGTTTGGGAGATTTTCCTTAAACAAGTCTAGTTAGAAAAGTTCAAACGCAAGCAGTAAGATATTTCACTAGTAATACAAAAAAAATACAACCTTGGATCAATAATCTCCAAGTCCAATAATTCGTTATGGAATCTGTTCCCGAGAACCTGTAAGATCAAAGAATACTCATTGATTAGTTGAAACCATAGTCACATGGATCGCGGTACGCTCCGGTACGGGAACGTGGAACGGGATCGTAATTCGCTAGGTCCCTAAAATTCGGTACGAGAGGGTAGACTTATTTCGGATCGCTCTGGTACAATGTACCAATTTCTTAGATAGAGATCAATTATAGAAGAAATTTAGAAATGCATGTTTTGTTTGCCTTATTTTATTTAATTTGAATTTGAGGTTTATCAACTGAACTGCTCAATTTTGTTTGTAGTTAGGAGCTGGACTGAGCATTCTTATCTCGAAAAGTAAAAGGATTAATCTCTAAATTTGAGTAGACTAGAGGATCTAAACTCAAAATTAGACCAAAACTATATGAAATATATTTTATATAAAAACCAGGCTCTTCCCACTTCCATTTTCAATTTTACATCTCTTATTTTGTCGTCTCTCTCTTTCTCTAAATCCCTTCATTTATCCTTTCTGGTTTCTTCTCTCCAAAATCGAAGATGCGTGAGATCCTTCACACTCAAGGTGGCTAGTGCGACAACCAAATCGGAACCAAGTTTTGGGAGGTTGTTTGTGCCGAGCACGGTATAGATCCAACCGGTCGTTACCAATGAGACCAAGATCTTCAACTCGAGAGAATCAATGTCTACTACAACGATGATGGGCTCTTCCAGCTCCGGTGAAGCCACGATAACACCTAAGGTAAGGCTCTTCAACTCACTGTTTTTTTTTTCTGGTTTCCCCAAATGGTTTCCTCTCTCCCTCTTCTTCTCCTCTGATTTTCTCTCTCAAACCCCCAATCCCTTTATTTTTCTGATTGCATCTCCTCTTATCCCTGCTGCAAAATTACGAAGTACCGAATCGCAATTTTGAGACGATCCGAACGCGATCGTACCGCGTTTTGGATCACAACGTTCAGTACGTAGATCGTGGACTATTGAGCGATTTATGTAACTATGGTTGAAACCCAGTCTTCAAAACAAAAGCATGCATCAATACACATTTCTTTGTGATCAAACATTTCAATATTATTGTACATGAATCTTTGCAGTAGTATTTGGATCAAGAAAGCCTTTTGCTGTGCTCCACAGTAGTTTGAATCCACTTCCAGCATTAACTATGTACATTTGATGTAAAGTCTGTGGAGAGAATGCAGATGTAAGAACAATAGAGGAATTCATACATAAAAAACTCATACACACGCACATATATATATTTAATCACCTTAATGAAACAATTAAGATACCTCAGGATAGTTGTCACCATCAATTTTCTGTATGTGCATCAAGAGATCATGTGCAACCTTGCCAAAACTCACCCAGTTCTGCATAAGAAGGAAATAATGTGAAACATGATACGGGATTAAATGCATATGATTTGTCATTTTTAATACTAACCAAACCCTGGACATCTAATATTGTTATCGTACGATCTATGTGCCTCTGAGCAGCAATAGAACAGGCAGGAAACTTCTCCAAAAAAGCCTTCTCAAATCCCTGCACATGATATTTTAAAAATCTTTCAACTGTAGTGATCTTCATCAGTTTGACAGGGTCAGTTTTACCAATTCTTTCAATATAAACAGGGTGACCCTGTTTGTCCACACCATGGTAACCATGGGGGTAACACTGCTGAACTTCTTCATACTCATCATACACAAAATCCTCCATGTGCATCATAGCACGTGTTAAAACTATGAAAGAAACTACTACAAACAAAAAAGACAGACAGCACATCCTTCATAAACAACAAGATAGAAAAAGATGCTATCTAATTCATCTAATCGTGAAGTGCAGTAAAAATTCAAATAATCCAATTTTAAAGATGATAAGAGGAGCACTTTTACCTGTACAATAGTATCTACTCCATACTCTTTCCTCCAGTTCAGCATATCTTCCCACATCTGCATGGTTTCATCAAGGTCAAACTTCCTTGCTTTCAGAAACCTGCAAAAAACAAATTCCACATTTTTTAAATGAATGAACATAGCTGAAAACTACTACAAACAAAAAGGACAGACAGCACATCCTTCATAAACAACAAGATAGACAAAGATGCTATCTAATTCATCTAATCGTGAAGTGCAGTAAAAATTCAAATAATCCAATTTTAAAGATGATAAGAGGAGCACTTTTACCTGTACAATAGTATCTACTCCATACTCTTTCCTCCAGTTCAGCATATCTTCCCACATCTGCATGGTTTCATCAAGGTCAAACTTCCTTGCTTTCAAAAACCTGCAAAAAACAAATTCCACATTTTTTAAATGAATGAACATAGCTGAATGGAGGCTCTTGAACGTAGGACTTTTATTTTTTTGTTTTGTTTTGTTTTTGTTTTTTTGTGGGGGGGGGGGGGAGTTATAAGTTGGAATAAGTATTTTTTTCCCAAAAATATAATTTAAAGTGGAGCTCAGTTTCCACTTCCATGTCTACTGGTTATGAAAGTCTACTCAAGTGTTGAGTGGGGGGTGCAGACTTCAGTTATATCATGCATCACTGCAAGCCGGCAGACGTATTTGCATTATACACAATGTCCAAAGGTTCAAACCTTAGTTTTATTAGAACGAGTCTACTCATAGATCCTCTGAATTAGACAGTAGATTTTTAAATAATTCATTTGTATAGAGAGATGCAACCCTTAAATACTTGCTCCTAAAAATTTGATATGAAAAATAGTACACGGCCCAAAACTCAATAAAGGGAGCAGTTGCAGTTCAATAAATGAGTAAACTGAAGATGGTTTGATATGTTACCCCATGCTACCACCATTCTAAGCAGACAAGAAACATTTCTTACATACGTTATGCTTAAATAGACAATCCAAATATTGCTTTCTAGATTGCTTATGCTGAAAGTGTTAAGTGGAGTTATTCGCTTTGGGTTTCTGTCTTCTTATATTTAGTTGAGCCCTTCATATATTGTTTTTAGTTTACATCTGACATGGTATAAGAGCAAGCCTAACCCTATGTATAGACTGTAAGGCTCTATTAAGCTATAGGTTTGGGGACTGTTAAATGGTATTATCACTCATCTAAAAGGTCCTGGGAATTCTTAAGGGTCTTATAATCAAGTTGGACCCTCCACATATTGGCAACTAATTTTGGTTGGATGCTTAACAAAAGTAATTAGAAATCACTAAGGAAATGCAAGAAGATTTCGAAATTTAGAGAACTGGAAACTCTTGTTTTAAGTAATTAAAATATATAAATTCTTCTTAAAGTCAATTGATAGGCGCATTATTCAATCAGTATGACATCATTCAAGCTATCTTTGGGAATTTCAAAACAGCACAAGTTTGGTTTAATGGAATGATCTCGTCTCTTATCAACATGGTAAATGCTAAGTGGCCACACAAATGAATTAACATAACTTTCTTCTAAAAACTGCAATACAAAGTCTGTTTACCTTAACAAAGTGTGGTAATCATCATAATGTGGAGAAAGCTGATCCTTTGCAAGCAACGCCTGACGATAAGCTCTGACCGCTTTTTCCTCCTCCACATCCCTTACATCCTCGATGGAAATTGCAGTGTATTTGCAATCAGGGACGCGTCTGCTACGTTTCCTTTACGGTATATGTCAACTTGAAAATTTTAGGTTTCTTAAAGGAAATAACATTTCATGTCAGCATTTTTAACCATAATTAACGAAAGTGATCGTAATGAAAATGAATTAAAAGTTTAATGATTCTAATATAACTTTTAAAAGTTTAATGACTAAGATGAAAGTACCCTAAAAGTTTAGTGACTACCAGTGTGATTTAGATTATATTTTTCATTGTAATGTAGAATTCAAAACACTATATTAATAGCCAAGCAGAGCTTCTTACGTGTTTTGAAAATTTACTTAATTAAAAAGAGAAAATATTTAAAATTATAATAATTTTAAAATTAAATATATAACTAGAATAGCTTCTTACAACCATTAATACAATAAATTAATCATTCGAGATCATTCAAGGACCATATAAGGTAAAATTTAAATTCATCCAAGAAACTCGAACAAACTACATATACAAACAAATCTATCTGCATCGACAAATGAATCACAAAATGAGATTAAACTACTAAAAGATCACCGAAAACTGAAAAATTAGAATTGAACGTCGTGAGAAAACTATCTACGAACACAAACCGCATTCCCAAATTCAATCCAAGAGTCCAAAGCAGGGAAGATCAACGAGATAACAAATAAGTTTAATATTGATCAATCGATGTGATATCAAATCTAACCCTGAAAAGTGTTCAAATGATCGAAAACGTGTCATGAAGGTAGAAGAAAACATATCATAAATGTAGAGAAAATGTGTTATAAAGATAGAATTATTAGAAACTAAAAAAATAAAAATTTAAATAAGAAATAAGGAATACATACAGCGTAAAAAAAGTTAGGTTTACAATAACAAGAGAGCAACGCCAATAATGTATGTGGTCATAACTCAGTTGTTTAATTAATAGGATGCCAACCTTAAATCACAGCAAAGCCAACCCCTTTCAACTCCACAATAATAATATAGCATTTATTTGCATACCTAAACGAACTACCGGTAAACAGACGAAAAGTTTATTTATTTATTAAATGAACGAACATAAATAAAATTTTATGTTCGCTTAATTAAATGAACGAACATGAACAAATGGTTCGTTCGTTCATTTACATTCGTGAACATATTGTAACTCATTCTTTTATGTTCGATAATCTGTTTGTTTATATTTGTTTACGTTCGATTATTCATTTGTTTAATTAAATTTATATTTATTTTCATTTTTCTATATTCTTCTAATAATTTTTGCTTGATTTAACATAAAGTTACATTTTATGTTCGTTTATCATTTTAACGAACGAATATGAATATTATATTTCTTAATGAACGAACAAAGAAAAAATTATGTTCATTTAATTATTCATATTCATTTGTTTTTTCAATTAAAGTTAAACTAGCAAACATGAACATATCATTATTCGTATTTGTTTGATTCGTTTACATGTATACTTCCATAGGCTGCCCCTTCGGCCTAACCCTATGCACTCCAACGCGTGATCTAATTGGCTTTGGCTTCTTTTCATGTTAGACCGACCGTAAGAACTGTAATTTCATCAATTTTAATTAGTTAAATTTAATAACTTAGCGTAACAAACAGATGGTCGATATGTCCGAGTGGTTAAGGAGACAGACTTGAAATCTGTTGGGCTACGCCCGCGCAGGTTCGAACCCTGCTGTCGACGGTTTTTATTTCGTTTCCCTCCAAATTCTACTACTTTATTGACTATGAAAATCCTAATCATCTATTTAATTTAAGTATATTTTCTGGTTAAGATTTGATCCTCTAAGAACGTGTTGAATCAATTTTTTTTTAGAAAATCTCCTTTTTATGGTGTTTGATTTACAATCACTAAACGATCCAATTTACATTAGAATAATATGACCGTTGAGTGGTGACAATTTCATTTTTATTTATCATAAAATAATAAATTAATTAAACTAAAATCAATTTAATTAACCAAAACAATCATATTTAAAAGATGACATCTAAGAAATTAAAAATTATACTCAATATAATCGATAAAAAAAGAGGTTAAACAATATTAAAAGTATCGAAACTCCTATACTCAGTAGCGATACTTATTGTAGATGTATGGAAATTATTAATACTGATACTTAATGTATATATATATTGATACGTATTCAAGAAAATTATTAATACCCGGTATCGATATTTTAGAATTTTAGATTTTTTATAACTGTTATCAAGACTTTAGCATTTGAAAAGTTGATGAATGTTAAAATATCGATAATTGATATTTGATGTGTCGAGATTTTTGAAAAAGTTGATGAACTCCCCCCACATCAACCTACAAGTATCGATACTTTCGAATTTAAAAAATATTTCAAACGGTTAAGTTATAAATATTTTATCGTTTACATTATTATTATACATTTAAACAAATCGATAATTAGTTTAACGTAATAGGTTGCGCCTATTTTATTTTACCGTTTATAATATTATTATACCTTTAAACAAATCGGTCGCTAGTTTAACGTAATAGATTACGTCTATTTTATTTTATCATTTATATTATTATTATACCTTTAAACAAACCGGTAGATAATTTAACGTAATAGGTTGCAATTTTTTTATTTTAACTGATTAAGTTGTAAATATTTTACCGTTTACATTATTATTATACCTTTAAACAAACTGGTAGCTAGTTTAACGTAATAGGTTGCACCTATTTTATTTGACCATTTATATTATTATTATACCTTTAAACAAACTGGTAGATAGTTTAATGTAATATATTACGTCTATTTTATTTTAACCGGTTAAGTTGTAATTATTATTAGACTATCAATACTTTTACAACGATATTTTAATGAAATTTTTTAAATAAGTAACTTTCGATATTAACTTTAACAATTTTTTTAAATAAAAAAATATCGATATTTTAATTTCAATAACTTTCTCAAATGTTAAAGTACAAACATAATAGAAAAAAATATCAATATTTTACCATTCATCAAATGTTAAAATATTGACTATCATATCGTAGTATCAATATTTATTTAAAAAATTGATACTTTATAGTCTTCTCTTTTTTTATTTTTTTTAAAATTCGAAAGTATTGATATTTGTAGAAAAATATTAAAATTTTATAACATTCTCATTTTCAATATTTTTCTAAAATTTGAAAGTGTCAATATTTGTAGAAAACTATTAATACTTTACAACCTTCTCATTTTTAATTTTTTTAAATTTGAAAGTATCTATTATCGTAGAAAAGTATCAATATTTATCGATAAGATAAATTTACCAGTTACACAATTATAATTAATATATTAGGCATAAGCCAATATTTATAATCGTGCTAAACCGATTTTGTTAAGATTATTTTGAGATTTTCGATTGTGATGTTTTTTTACTTTATATTAATATGTATTTCCTTAAACAATTCCTAAAAATTGCAAAGCGCTTTGAAAAGTCAAAACAAAACCTCGGCCTTGGTGAGTTGGTTGTTCATTGGTTGGTTTCTAATCGAATGGTCATTCAACCATCTTACACTGCCCCTCAGCTCCCCCCCTCCACACCCCCAAACAAAACATTTAAGTGGAGTTTTGTTCGTTAAAATGTTTAAGAGAGAATTAGAATCTGAATCTGAAACTTATATGGTTGGTAAGAAATTGAATTAGAATCTAATTTCATATTCTGTTTGGTTCCTAATCATGTCAGATTAATTGGATTTCAATAATGTAAAATGACAGAATTGTCCTTCTTGGTTTTTTGGTCCACCCGACCCAAGAACAAGGGAACCTCCACCCTCCACCCGACCCAACCCGAATATATAAATTAGAAATCCGACCCGAAATAATAAAAAAATTATTTTTATTCAATAAAAACAGTGACTTAATTGGGAAAAAAATTATATATAGAGGGGTATTATTGTAATTATTCCTAAATATATAAGGTAAAATATATTATTCATCACTCAATTATTTTTTACTCTTATTTTAGTTACTATAATTTAATTTTTTTAATTTAATTATTGAAAATTTGAATTATTCATGTTTTGATCACTCCATTAAATAATTAATAGCGCTATAACATGATAACCTATACGAAAATGATATAGTTTTAAATCTATACATAAAACCAAATTTAATTTAAAACGACATAATTTTAATTATATATAAAAATCTATTTTTCTCTCATTTCTTCTTTCTTTATTCTTCCTCATTTCCTTTTTACTCTCTCAACCTAAACCAACTCATAATTTGATTATATTGGTCGTCATTGTGATCACCGTCATCGAAGGTTGATAAGTCTCAAAATAACCTACTAAACTTGCTTGACCCTTATGAACGTGAATTCATTGTCCGCTTAGTCAATGACTAACCCAAACTCCACAAGTCTAACATTGATACCATCATTATCGCACATCGTCATGATCCAACAACCATTCACGTTGATATTAGTGCCGAAAGAAAACTCACTCCCTTTCATCGTCCGATTGTTCTCTAATTTGGGGTAGTCGGTTGGGGTTTATGCCCCTTTCACCAAACAATAAAAAATCATACACTTAAAATAATTTATTGGAAACTCATTCCCTTTTACATGTTTTCGTACTTCCGTCAGTTGTGGCCGTCATCAGTAGGCTTATCAACAATAAATGAAGTAGGTTGGGATCCATGATCAAATTGACATGAATTTGATTATTGGTTCATAATAGAAGTTGAATCGTGTCATCTGATAGTACATTATCACACTGTCAATCGATGTTAAGGATGCAACAAGTGTAATATCTCAAATGTGTCTGTGCGGTGAATTACGTTATCACTTGCAGGTGTATCATTTCAAAGGTCGGTGAAGGTTAAGAGTGGTCAATTGAGTTTTGCGTCGGGAATTAGGTTTTAAAGATTTTAGTTTTATTTTTGTCTTTTTTTAAAAAATCTTATTTGGCACTAAATATTATGTTAAAATAAAAAATAATAAAATTATCCATGTCTTTAAAGATTTTATAATTTAAGCGGAAGAGTGGCTAAAACAAGAATAATTTAAAAGTTTAATAATTTTTTTGAAAAAATTTAAACTTTAATAATTGAAATAGGAGTGAAAAGATAGTTAAGTTATGAAGGGTGTAATTTAACCAAACAATTATGGCGTTGACCTTACATGCCAACCTCACTCTCTCACTCAGTTTAATCAATTCTTCGCTGTTCTTCTTCCTCAATCAAACAAAGAAACAGGGCAAGAATATGGGTGGAGACGGAAAGCTCTATACTTTGGCGGAGGTTTCCCAACACAACCATGATAAAGACTGTTGGCTTGTAATTGAGGGCAAGGTACGGCTTTCTTGTCTTTCTTCTTTTGTTGGTACAGATTTCTTGGGTGATCCAGTTCAGTCTGCGGTTGTCTTTTCTTTTTTAAAGGAAAAATCCTGAAGTTGGGTGTTTTGGTTTATTTCTGAAGTTGCAAATTTTGTCTTTTTTTTCTGGCGTTCTTGGATTTATTTTCTTGTCTGTTCGTTTTTTGTTTATTTTGGTTCTGATGGTGAGAAAATTTTGAATTCCCGAGGATGGATGTCTTAGAGAGAGGCTGACAGCTTATATCAGGATACTTAAATACTCCATCTTTCCTATATAAAAAAAGATTGCTGAATCTGAAATTGCTGGGTTGATAACATAGATTGGTTCAATATAAATCTTCAGTTTCAAGGTCAATCTTTTGATTGGATCGTACATATTCACTTGTGATCCTTATGATTGCTAAAGCTGGATGCAAGTATAGACCCTCTGCCTCTCTGTTCCCTGGATTTCTTAATTATTATCTTAATCTGGCTTGATGGCTTAACAATTGTTTTTCTGCTTTGTTGCCCTTAGATTTAGTATTACCCTTGAATGAATCCTGGCATCCTGCATGATGGACTTTGCACAATGTATTCTCTTGTTAGTTTGTACCAAGGTTCATTAAGAGAGATATGCTGTTATGTGTATTTGGTATCATATTCCCTGCATTTGTAGATAGCTGTCTTTCGGATGAGAGCGACTTTAATCAGTAATATTATTCTGTCTTTCGGATGAGAGTGACTTTAATAAGTAATATTATCATCATTTTAAAAAAAATCTTTGGAAATTTTCATGAACTTTTGTTGTGGTTTCTTTCATGAATCTCAAGAGGGTGTTAAGTAACCAAAAAATTTTATGCCTTTGAAGCCGGTTTGATCTTCTTGTCACAAAAAGCAAGGTTTGGATTTAGATATCAGTCTTCCCATTGATTTGGTCGCCGAATTCTACTCTAGAGGCCTAACTACTTATATTTCTTCTTTCTATTTGGCACCATTTTAGTCCCCTAAAAGTTCCTTATGTTTGAACAGGTTTACAATGTGACTAAATTCTTGGAGGATCATCCTGGTGGTGATGAGGTCTTATTGTCTGCAACAGGTTAACAAATCTCTCCAAAATTTCCACTTATTTTGTATGATTCAATGTGGGAATTGCTGTGGAAAATGTTGAAAAGAATGTTAATAACCTTGGTTTGATGTTTGGCTGAGCCTGGCAGGGAAAGATGCAAGTGATGATTTTGAGGATGTTGGTCATAGTAGCAGTGCTCGAGCGATGATGGACGAGTTTTATGTGGGTGACATCGATACATCAACCATCCCAACTAAGACCAAGTACTCCCCACCCAAGCAGCCACACTACGAGCAGGACAAGACCTCAGATTTTGTTATCAAGCTTCTCCAATTCCTCGTTCCCTTGCTGATCTTGGGATTGGCCTTTGGCGTCCGTTTCTATACCAAATCACCCGCTTAATCATCGAGAGTGCAACCTAAGATCGAAAGAAAAAGAACTTCACAATATGATTATGTTAATTAAAAGTTTGTTTGGAATTGTCACATATTATGGGATGGTCGAACTTCGATATTACAATATTTGCTCGTGCCCCATTTTCTCTGTAATATCTACCCCTGTTCTCCTTGGCCTGTATTTGGTAAAACTACCATTTCTTTCTGGTTTGGTAACCTTTAAGGTCTCCCTCTCCAATAATGTTATGTACTTCAGTCCATTGATTTATGAGCTAAATTCAGGTCAAAATGCTACTCGTGGATGCCTAAAAAGTACTAATGGTTCCCTTCAAAATCATCGATATTGAATCAAATGAAGTATGAAATTACATTCCAAAAGTTGAATACCAAGAAAATTAATGCACAAATTCATAAACAACTTATTGATTCTTGAGGCACCAACCGAGTAAATACTTTACTAGTTCAAAGCGGTAGTCTTTGATTTGACGAGATGATTATTCCAAAGGCCAACTCTTTTCTAGGTGTGAAGAATATAAAAGTAGCAAAATTTCTCTTTTACTGAATCTGGTTTCCAAGGAACGACATGGTTAATCAGACAAAGTAAGCTTGATTGATACTACAAGGCAAAGTATTTCCCTTAGATGTTCACGCATCTTTATCCGTTTATAGATCATGGTGTACAAACAAACAAACACCATGTCAAATTCTTAGTAACTAGATTTCTCCTCTCCTAAGTACCTTCATTGTTTTCATCGCCATTTAGATTCTAGTCGCCATATGACAGTATAAGAAGTAAGAACAAACAAGGGCGTGCAGTGTATTCCCTCTCCCTTGCCATTTTTGTTTTCGAGTTTTTGTAGTTGATGAAGAGAAAAACATGAGGGCCATAGAAGCAAAAAAAGGTGTACTGAAATTGGTCCATCCGGGACGACATGTAGAGACTCACACTGACCCTATTATCGCTTCAGAGGTGTTGAAGAGGAACCCCAGACACTGTGTTACTCGACCGGATGTGTTCGAGTATCCATGGATCGTTGTTAGACCTGAGTCTGTGTTGAAACTAGGGAGAGTCTTTTACATTGTTCCTAACCTTACAATCTATAAACTAATAAAACAGACAGGATACAACATCCAAGCTTCCTTGGAGCAAAAGAAACCACCCATAAGTTACGTTCACTGGCAACTGCTCGAATTGGACTCGCCGAGTAAGTCGTCTGCTGGGACAACACCAATGCACCAAGACCATTGCCAATCAGACTGGAAACAATTTCAAGCTAGTTGTGAAGACGGAAGTCTCCAGGAGCAAGCTTCCGGTGACAGATTCAGTCGGTCTACACAGTTTGAATCCCTTGCTGATACGATGGTCAAGTTCTGGAACAGTTACAAAGAGTTTAAAGAGATTTCAGTAACAGGTTATACATCTGAAACTGAATCTGTGGGTAAAAAGCAGAACTTGTTTCAAGCTTCAGGGAATGACTGTGAGAAACAGATTGCTACGATTTTGAAACCTTGCTCAAGGAAACATGACAGTGATAGAAAGTTGCTTCATCTGAAAGTTTCCTTTTCCTTGTCTACTAATTATGAGGAAAGGAGAAGAAAAGTTGCATTGTCTAGAGCAGAATTTCCAGGTCTTTTTACTTATTGAACTTTGTAGATCAATGGGTTTCTCCAAGAATAATAAAAGTAAAACCCCAAAAATCTTATAAAATTTTGTTCAATGTAGCTTGCTTTACCCTTGATTATGATACTGTGTGTTTATTCAATATATCCTTAGGAACTTGAGGACTCATTACACAAAAAATAAAAAAGCTGCTGAAAACTCATAGAGGTAACTCAAACATCACAACTCATATACAATGTGGCCAAAAGAAGAGAAAAGTGAAAAAAACATTGACATAAAAGGTTACCAAAATCATGGCCTTAACAGATACAGGCATGCCATTTTAAATTGCCTAATCGGTGCTTGCACATGTCCTCTCAATCACCTTCGAATCCGTTCTGTAGGATTGCCTCGAGGGTGAACTTGATCCTCTCGAAGAGCTATGTCCAAAGAAGCTCAGTTTACCAATTTTCTTTGAGAAGGAACTCATAAACTTACGAGAACTAGACTTCGACATATCTCTCTTCATACAAACATGTTCTTTATCTAGATCATTTAATCTCATCCGCATCCGAGCAAGTTCGAGTTTTAGTTCCCGGTTTTCTCGCCTTAAAGATGCATAGTTGTCTTTCGGAGACATTGCTGCACCGAGTGCACCACTGCTGATCCGCCAGGATTGGTGATGCACTGGCTTGTGGTCATCGTCGGCATAAGAGCAGCTCAAAGCGTTTCGCAGCCTTAATTGCTCGAAATAAAGAACTTGGACTATAGATTGGAGGGGAAGTCGTTCGTTTTGTGCAGCATGTGCACCGGCTTCTTGTGAAAGCTTTTGGAAATCAATCAGTTTGCTGAGCTTCTTCTTGTCTGCATCTGGTAAACCTTGATGAGCCTGAAAAAATCATTCATTAGAAACTTTATCAAGAAGTTTGGTGCAAATGGAAAACGAATCAGGCGTTAAAAACATGAAGATATTAGCATACATACCTTCAGGTAAATATCAATGGCTCGATATAGCCCATCGTGGATCGTACGGGCGTGTGTAGGTAAAGTCCCTGCAATGGCCATGAGCTTGGCAAGCTTGAGGTTTGCATCAGGAGCAATTTCTGCAAGATAATTATCCACTAGCTTCGAAACTTTAAATAATGCACTTTGAGACGGTGAATGATGACTATCCGATTTGAAAACAGATGCATCATCCATATCATCTTCACTATCATCTTGCTGAGAAAAATTTACCAGTATTCTTTGTACTGTATCAACATCGAATAAGGTGTCATTCGCATGCCGAAAAGACGGGATCAGAAGGTCATCAAGAGTTGCAATATCCAACTGGGAACCAATCCTCCGCTCTAGATCAAGCCTACAAGCAATACTACAATCAAGCATCACTGCACTTCTAAGAAGTCTGAAAAGGAAACTAATAGGAACAGCAAGTTTCTCGACAGGTAAAAGGCTAATGATCGTCTCAACCACCAGACATTCGTGCTCGGTCGAAAGGAAATCAACTTTTGTCTGTCCGGATGGATTCCACAAACTGGATTTCTTGGTCAGCTCCTTCTGTGCATAGTTTATGAGCGATGCACCGATACTCTCCGGACGGACACCGTGACATTTCATGGCTGTCATGACTCTTTGATACAAATCAATCCTAATAACAGAAAGATCTTCTATCCACCAGTCTTCCTCACATTTGGCCTTCCTGTTCATATGAAGTCTCCCTGAACTACTGTATTCTAAGCGCGAGAAGCTCGATGCTATTTGCTCTGCGCAAGCCTTTGAAGCTATGGCATCAATGCAACGGCTAACTATTCTCAGCTCATCCGCAAGAGGGAGTAGGAGTTCACATTGTTGTAACACTTCAACACACATCTCCAGGTTCTTGCAAACGATACTCTCGAGATACTCTTCGGCTCGCGAGCTGAGATTATCATTCGAAAACTCCTCGGTCATTTCAAGGTACTCGGAGACACAACAGAGCTGAGCCACATTTGAAGATGTAATTGCAAAGTTAATTCCATAACAGAACTTAGCTGCCAACTCGAATGTCTCAGCACCACCAGGTAAATTCAGAAGCTCCACCCTCGAGAAATCAGATTCCTTATGTTCCGCAACTAACTTCCTGATCCGTCCACTCCGAGAGACAAGAGGAAACTGCAGATAACAACCACAATTATCAGCGCGAATCTGCACATGAAAAAACATGCCATTTCACTTCAATGGCAACCTTAGCCTAATGTTTAACATATTGAAGAACATATCAGGCCAAGCAATTCATGGCACAGTATTTAGACAAAAGATCGTCATTCAGAAACAGGAAAATAAGTGAGAAAAACAATTTTCAGATCAGTAGAAGGCTAAGAACATTTTTCCCTAATGCTTTAGTTACACTGCTGGAAAATTTAAAGTAAATAGCTAACTATAAAATTCAATTTAAATCAAAATAAAATACATTGAATAAATTTTGAGAAGTAAAGCACCAAATTACCTTGTGTAGAGAAAAACTCCCTCCATTTACTTCTATTGTGATATCACTTTTAACATCCCGGAAAATCCTACAACAAAAGAAGCAGCACTTTGAATATGCAGGGAAGAAAAAAAGGAAGAGATCATCTATGAATATCCCCATGTAACTTTTCACATTTCAATGGTAAAAGAAAATATCAACGTCCAAGTCATGGTAACTGAGGGACTGAAACACAAACAAAGACAAAATCATAGTCCCCAAAGAAAGGAATGATCATGAAATAGCTGGAAGCATAGTAATTCTTTACATAAAAAACGAGCAGAGCAAATATTCTAAGTGAAAACTTACTTATTTCAAAGCATCAACCAGACAAGATACGTGAGAGAAAAACCATGTAACATAAAAAGCAACAAAAGAGCATGTTCATTGAGAAAAGAAGAGACTGAAACTTGAAGCAAACTACAATATGAAAGAGAAACAGTTGTTTAAACAAGGTGACTATCCATTTAAAAAAAGATCAAAGCTTTGAAAAAACACACATCAAACAAACCATGAACTAGTAACAATGCTAGAATGAAACATGTACCATTCATTGCAACGCTGCCTGGAATTTTTTACCAAAGACAGCTGATGACGATAATGATTCTGCTGCTGCTTGTCCATCGACAGAGACACTGAGTGAACTCGGGAGAGAGAAAAATAAACATGAAACACTAAGAAAGAGAGGAGAGAGAGGTGTGGGGTTAATTGAGAGAGACAAAGACAGAGTCCCAGTTGTAGATGTATCTCGTTGCTTAACTTCTTTGGCCATTTTTTGTCAAACTGCTGATCTTCAAACCATAGATTTCTGTTGTCCAAACCAATGGGGCTTTTTTGGTGGGTCATCCTTTTAACATCCTCCCATCTTATCTTAACAATGGCTCGCCATCTTAGTGGTAATAAGTAATATTATTTTTCTAAAGATTTAAGATTCTGAGTAATTACATATATAAAATATGTATATTTATTGTCAATTAATTAAGAAATTCAAACATATTTATCTTATAAAGATCTCGTATTAATAAAAAAACAATGCATCTCATTAGGAAAAAATGAACAAAGCAGGTAAGAAAGGAGTTGTAATCTTCGGATATCCTTTTCTTTTGTTTTGCTTTTCTCTATGTCGTCAAAAAGCATAAAATACAAATAAAAAAGACATCTTTTCTGCCTTCTCCCATCCCAAGCTTTAGCTTGCAAGCAATCTTTTGGATATTTACATTTTCACCCCATCATGTTATGAGAATTCCATTATACCCCCTCTTTCCTAATATTTTTAGTTTTCATTAAAATAACCTCAGTGACCAAAATCCTAGATAATATACGATTTTGACCAACTTTTTTTGGATTTGCGAAAATGACCAACAAAATCGCAATGCGATCTCTAATTCTCATTGCGATCTCCACTATCCCAAATTCGTGTTGCATTTCGCATTGCGATAGTTGAAAATCGCGTTACGATTTTCCATTTCGCGTTGCGATAGTTGAAAATCGCGTTGCGCTTTTCCATTTCGCGTTGTGATAGTTGAAAATCGCGTTGCGATAGTTGAAAATCGCGTTGCGATAGTCTACAGTTGTCGTTGCGATTTTCCAAATTCGTTGCGAAAATCCGTTGTGATAGTTAAAAAAAAGATTTTGTTTCTTAAGAATTTTCTCTAAAAAGATAGTATCCGCGCGGACGTGTCGAAGACACGTACGACCACGACCACGACCACGACCCGAGACGAGACAGACGGCGGCGGCGGCGGCGCGCGAGAGTCCCCCTTGTTCTCTATCACTCAACAAGGAAGTGGAAAAGCCAAGCCTTAAATACCATTCCCAATAGTGTTTCCAATACTATGTGAGATTGAGCATTACCAACACTTATTTCCAATACAATGTGATTATTCAGAAAACAATTAACAATCACGCACCTTAAAATAACTGAATCAGCAACTAATTGCATTAGTATTATACAATTAAATATGTCATAATTAAAAGTCAATCTACAATCAATCGCGATTATTGCAATTTTAAGCAAAACATTCAAAAATAATATCACTATTTAAGGCTCAATCTCACATAGTATTGAGAACAAGTGTTGGTAATGCTCAAATCCCACATAGTATTGGAAATACTATTGGAAATTGTATTTAAGGCTTGGCTTTCCCACTTTCTTGTTGAGTGATAGAGAACAAGGGGACTCTCGCGCGCCGCCGCCGCCGCCGTCTCGTCTCGTCTCGGGGTCGTGGTCGTACGTGTCTTCGACACGTCCGCGCAGATACTATCTTTTTAGAGAAAATTCTTAAGAAACAAAATCTTTTTTTTTAACTATCACAACGAATTTTCGCAACGAATTTGGAAAATCGCAACGATAACTGTAGACTATCGCAACGCGAAATGGAAAATCGCAACGCGATTTTTAACTATTGCAACGCAAAATGCAATGCGAATTTGCGATAGTGGAGATCGCAATGCGAATTATAGATCGCATTGCTATTTTGTTGGTCATTTTCGTAAATCCAAAAAAAGTTAATTAAAATCGTATATTATCTGAGATTTTTGATCAGTGTAGTTATTTTCTCTTTTATCAATTATCCCAAGTTGGAGCAAAAAGGCCAACCACCTGCTTTTAAAGGCACTTCACCACAATATATAAATATTACATTATTGAAACCAGTATATATAATTATTTATGAATTAAATTGGGGTCCAAAAAGATGTCCTATATCCCCAAAAAGATTGATTAAGAGGTATCAACACCCACAAATCAAAGGATATGATTGCCCTTTTGCAAAGGGGAGAGCAAGAACAATATTCCTTTGGTAATTGAGACTATTCATTAAAAGAAAGAAAAAAGCTTGTATGAGAGACAAAATTGATGGTGTTTGACCTAATTTTGATTGCTAAAAGTTGGGATATTTTCTAGGGTTTTCTTCACCGCTACTTAGACCATTATTAGACAAAACATCCACGGAATGATTAATGAAGAATTCTCCTTATATGGCATTTTCATTTGTGGGAATATTAATTGCATTCGTCATTGTTTATTTCTAAAATCTAAAGTTCATCTTCACTGCGGGACAAAGAAAAGGAAATATTGTAGTTCGTTCGAACTACACGGTGAATTCCTTCTACTTTTAAGAAAATCTACGAAACTCATCGGGAATGAACAGAGATTTTTCTTTAAATTAAAAAAAAGATAAAGTCCTCTGAGAGATAACACTTTATTTTAGTCATTAAAAAGTCATATTTTTAATATATTAAATGATCTTAATGTTAAAGAGAATATTATTCTCCTTAAAAGTCTCGAATTCGAATAATTACGTATGCATTATGTTAATTTAATGAGCTAAATGTTAGTTTGAATAGGGCACCCTAAGTAGATAGGGTTAGGGGACCCTTACATTAGAGTAGAGAACACTCTAATTCTAAAAAAATGGCTTGAGGTTTAAGCACACTAATCACCTAACGCCAGCCTTTAATCCTCTCCAACAAAAAGCCTAAAATCAGGCAGCAAAAAAAGTAGAATGCTGACCACTCTTTTATATATTTTTATAAATTCTTTTATAATTATTATGTTAAAAATTCAACCGTTAAATATATTAATATGATAGTATCAATATGGATTTTTGAACAATCTAATATATTTACCATGTTGTTTATCTTTGTTAATATTAATTTCTCCTACACAAATATATACATATTTATTTTCTATTATTAATAGTTTTTATATACATATATTGAGATGATATTGTATTTGAAGTTTTTAAATCTTTATATAATTTAAATATTATTATATTTTTATTAATGATTTAATTTTATATTTTTAAAATTTTAAAAAAATTATTATTAAATTTTTAATATAATTCTCTAAAAATTAATATATATAATATAAAATTTGATATCTAGCTCTGATTAAATCATATCACCAATTTATATATTTTTCCATATAATATATAATACGTGCATTTATTAAGAAGATATGATTTTCTAACAACCTTTTACTCAGAACATTCAACTAACTATTTTGAAAAGGTTGCTTTCATATAAAATAAAAATACATATACACTTGGGGATGCCTTTATTGGTGGGTCCTAAAAGGGTTATTATTAGGAAGGGGCCGGCGTGGGATCCCATTCCCATTTAATATACTTCTCTTTTGTTATCATCTCATTTCATATCTATCACCACCCCCTCCCATTTTCATCTTCATCACTTCACTCCATTTACTTATATAATTTTTGACATATATAATCATATGTTACAAGTATATTTGATCGGTGAAGTTATTCGTCTTTATTTTTTCGTATCTTTTTAAGTCATGGAATTTAGATTTATTAGGAACATTCTCCTTTCTTCCTCTAGAGTCTCTCCTCTCCAGGCTCTAGATAGGATTATAATTATATTTAGAAATTGTCAAAAAAAATTTTATCTAGAGATCAGCATGAGTTAGGTTGGGTTGAGTTTTCGGCCAATTCGACCCAACCCAAAAAATATACACTCTCTATCTGAAACCAATTTAACCTGGTTTTAGGGTGATTGAAGATGGTTACAACTATGCTAGCTTCGAGTGTGTCGACTCCGTTTACGATGAAGAATTTGACATTGTTGAGACCTTGAAGAAAGCCGTTTAGGTTTTCAAGTCGGCGATGGTTTCGATTTCCACGATGAGTAACAGCCGTGAAGTCTGGACGAAGGTGGCGCGTGCTATGGAACCGTTGGGACTCAAATGTCGATTTTTCGTAGTGGATGAGTTCCCCGCCGCTGGTACCATTGTTTTTCAAACATTCACAAGAACGACTCGTCGGAAATAACATCGAAAAAAAACCAACACCAACGAGAAAGGTAGATAAAAAGAAGAAGAAAAAAATGTGGTGAAGGGATTTTAGTTTAAAGAGTAAAAGAAGAAGAAAAAGAAGGGTTAAATATAGGTAAGTGTCATGTCGGATAAAACTAACGAGAGGTAACGTCAGAGACCTTATTGAAAACGAACTAAAAGTTTAGTGACTGTATTGTAAGATATAAAAATTAGGTGACCAAAATGAAAGTTCTCTAAAAGTTTAGGGACTATTAATATCCTTTACCCTAATAATAATTATTATGTTTAAAAGTTGTAAGTGAAAGCTTTATGTATCTATTTAACTAAACCGACAGAGCATATACCTAAAAGGGTCAAATCTAAAGCTTTAAAGAAGCAGCAAACGAGGAAATGAAAAGGGAGACATGAAAAAATTGAAAAGATATATTTATTTTATATTATTAAAAAGTTTTGTTTTACGTCAGTTCATTATCACTGTTGGGCACGCGTTCGGCTTCATATTTTGATTTTTGTTTGGTAAGACAACGGAATCCAATGTTCCAACAAATTTTTAAACTAAATTACGGTATTTGTATTTAATGTTAATTATAATGATTTTGGTATGGGTTGATTCAGGTGGGGAATTATAATTGATAATTTTATAGAGGAGAGAAGATGATAGAGAAAAAGAGTTTTTCTTTTTCCCAGCTTTGTATGGCTTATACAATTTTTTAGGGTTGACGTTAAAAAAATATTCTAATCTTGGAACTCCATATTTTCTATAATATTGTTTTCATATGTATGTGCTATGATTTTCTTAATTTTTTGGATGTAAGGATGATTTTGACAAATCAAACATTTGAAAATTTTAGTGAGTAATTTCTGTGACTTAATGTAACAATCAATTTTTTAAAATCTTTTAAGTCGAATATTACATTTAATGATATCAAAATCTTTTGAATTTAATCGATTCTAAAACCAACTGATCGATCGTAATAGGACATCTGATGAATACAAAACTTAAATTAAATATGATGTACTCCAAGA